CAATGGAAAGATATCCTCAGGTGAGGATTAAAAAAAAAAAAAAAAAAAAAGGAACCACTTCAGATTCTTGCTAAAAGGGATAGTTGTTTAGAAGTTTTCAGTTTGCTCTTGTTTTGTCTTGTTTTGTTCTGTAAGCACCAGTATAACAAATGGCATAATGTGGTTGGGATTGAGCCTCATAATCAGCAAGCCTGAGGGCTGAGCCCACCCACAAAGGGATCAATAGCAATCAAGACCCAAATACAACAGGAGGGGCCACACGACCCACGCAAGGGACATTCCTACAGCACCCAGCTCAGAAGATTAAGGAGACTATACCACTGGGTCCCAAATGACACCCACTACAAAAGGCCACCCCACCGAGACTGGGAGTCATAGCAGTCATAGCCAGTACACAGAAACAAACAAAGAAACAATAAAAATGGGGAAACAAAGAAACAAGCGTCAAATGAAAGAAGAGGAAGAATCTCCACAAAAAGAACTAAATGAAATGGAGGCAAGCAATTCTTTGAAACAGAGTTCAAAGAAATGGTTTTTAAGACTGCTCAACAGCCCTGACTGGTGTAGCTGAGTTGGTTGGAGCATCATCCCATACATCGAAAGGTCAGGGTTTGATTCCAGTCAGGGCACATACCCAAGTGGAAGGTTCAATTCGATCAATGTTTCTCATTCACTACCTCTCCCTTCCTCTCTCTCTAAAACCAATAAAAACATAGCCTCAAGTGAGCATTTAAAAAAAAAAAAAAATGCTCGACAGCATGAAAAAGGATATAGAAACCATGAAAAACAACCAGTCAAAAATGAAGAATGATACAGGTGAAATAAAGCACACACTGGAAAGAATAAACATTAGAGAACGTGAAGGACTAAATCAGTAAATTAGAACACAAGGTAGAAAAAAAAATCACTCAATTAGAGCAGCAAAAGGAAAAAATAATTAAAAAGCACAAGGAAAATTTAAGGGAACTTTGGGACAACATGAAACATAACAACATTCACATCATTAGGGTACCAGAGGGGGAAGAAAGTGAGCAAGGGATGGAGAAATAACAACAGAAAACTTCCCTAACCTGGTGAAGGAAAAAGTCACACAGGTTCAGGAAGCACTCAGAGTCCCAATCAAGATGAACACAAAGAGATCCACACAAAGATACATCATATTAAAATGGCAAACAATAAAGAGAGAATCTTTTTTTTTAAATCATTTGACATTAAAATTTATTTATTTGATCATATTTTAAAAAGCAGGGCAGAATCACACCCATTTTCTTCATAGTATCACTATACATAGACTGAATTTCAGAGCCCTTAGTTGGCTTTGGAAACTTCAGAAGAACTGACTATTACAAAGAGAGAATTTTAAGGGCAGCGAGAGAGTCAGTTACCTACAAGGGAGCTTCCGTAAGACTATAAGCTGATTTCTCAACAGAAACACTGCAGGCCAAAAGGGAATGACAAAAAATATTCAAAGTAATGAAAAGCAAAGACTTGAAACTAAGACTACCCTATCCATCAAGGCTATCATTCAGAATTGAAGGTGAAATAAAGAAGTTCCCAAACCAAAAAAAGGCTAAAGGACTTTATTATCACCAAACTAGAAATGTTAAAAAAAAAAAAGAAAAAGGAACCACTGCAAGAAATGTTAAAGGGACTACTACAAGAAGAATAAATAGAGAGGAGGAAACTTTAACACCCCACTAACTTTACTGGATAGATCTTCCAGACAAAAATTCAACAAGGAAGAAGCGACCTTAAACAACACACTAATGACGGGTTTGATGTTTACAGAACATTTCATCCCAATACATCAGAATATGCATTCTTCTCAACTGCACATGGAACATTCTCAAAGACAGACTACATGTTAAGACACAAAATAAGTCTTAAGTTCAAGAAGACTGAAATCATATCTAGCGTTTTCTTGGATCACAGTGCCATGAAACTAGAAATCAACTATAATTAAAACACTAAAAAACATTCAAACACATGGAAGCTAAATAGCATGTAATTAAACAATGAATGGATTACCAATGAGATCAAAAAGAAATTTAAAACTTCCTGGAAACAAATGAAAATGAACACACAACAACTGAAAACCTATGGCACACAGCAAAAGGGAAGATAGCATTACAGGCCTATCTCAAGAAACAAGAAACACCTCAAATAAACAATCTAATCCTACAACTAACAGAATTAGAAAAAGAACAACAAGAAAAGCCCAGAGTAAGTAGAAGGAAGGAAATAATAAAGAGCAGAGCAGAAATAAATGACACAAATAGCAACAACAAAATATAAAAAAAAATCAATAAAACCAAGAGCTGGTTCTTTGAAAAGGTAAATGAGATTGATGAATCTTTAGCCAAACTCATCAAGAAAAAAAGGGAGAGGACCCAAATAAATAAGTAATGAAAGAGGTGAAGTAACAACTGACATCGTAGAAATACAAAGGATTGTAAGAAAATATTATGAACATCTATATATCAATAAATTGGACAACCTGGGCAAAATGGACAAATTCCTACAAACATACAATCTTCCAAAACTCAATCAGGAAGAACCAGAAAACCTAAATAGACCAATAACAACTAACGAAATTGAAGCGGTAATAAAAAAAACTCCCAGCAGCCCTGGCCAGTGTGGCTCAGTGGTTAGAGTGTTGGCTCGCACACCAAAGGTTCACAGGTTTGATTCCCAGTCAAGGGCATATACCTGGGTTGCAAGTTCAATCCCTAACCCCATTTGGGGTACGTGCGGGAGGCAACCAATCAATGTTTCTCTCTCTCTCCCCCTCCCTCCCTTCCACGCTCTCTAAAAATCAATGGAAAAAATATCCTCGGGTGAGGACTTAAAAAGAAAAAAATTCTCAGCAAACAAAAGTCCTGGACGCATGGATTCACAGGCAAGTTTTACTAAACATTCAAAGAACACCTGTCCTCTTCAAATTACTCCAAAGTACAGGAGGAAGGAAGGTTCCAAGCTCTTTTGACAAGGCCAGCATTATCCTAATTCCAAAACCAAATAAAGACACTACAAAGAAAGAAAATTACAAGCCAATATCCCTGAACATAGATGCTAAAATCCTCAACAAAATATTAGCCAATCAGATCTAGCAATGCATTAAAAAGATCATACACCACAACCAAGTGCGATTTATTCCGGGGATGCAAGACTGGTACAATATTTGCAAATCAATAAATGTGATACATCACATAAACAAAATAAAGGATAAAAATCACGTGATCATATCAATAGACACAGAAAAGGCATTTAACAAAATCCAGCACCCATTTCTGATAAAAACTCTCAGCAAAGTGAGGATAAAGGGATCATACCTCAACACAATAGAGGCCACATATGACAGACCTACAGCCAACATCATACTCAGTCAAAAACTAAAACCATTTCACTTAAGATCAGGAACAAGACAGGGATGTCCACTTTCACCACTCTTATTCAACATAGTACTGAAAGTTCTAGCCACAGAGATCAGACAAGAAGAAAAAATAAAAGGCATCCAAATCTGAAAGGAGGAAGGAAAACTGTCATTATTCGCAGATGACATGATAGTGTACACAGAAAACCCTAAAGATTCCACCAAAAAAGACCTGCTAGATTTAATTAATGAATTTGGCAAAGTAGCAGGATACAAAATTAATATACAAAAATCAATGGCAGTCTTATACATTAATAATGAACTCTCAGAGAGAGAAACTAAAAAATAATTCCATTTAGCCATTGTAACAAAAATAAGATACCTAGGAATAAACTTAAGCAAGGAAGTAAAAGATCTATACTCGGAAAACTATAGGACACTGAAAAAAGAAACAGAGGAAGATACAAACAAGTAGAAGTATATACCGTGTTCATGGATAGGAAGAATTAACATCATTAAAATGTCCAAAGCAATTGGACTACCCAAAGCAATCTATAGATTCAATGCAATCCCTATTTAAATACCAATGGCATACTTCACAGGTCTAGAACAAATATTCCAAAAATTTATATGGCACCAAAAAATACCCTGAATAGTCTCAGCAACCTTGGAAAAGAACAAAATTGGAAGGATCACAATACCATATACCAAACTATACTACAAAGTCATTGTAATCAAAACAGCTTGGTAATGGCACGAGAACAGGCATATAGACTAATGGAACAGAACAGAGGCCCCAGAAATCAACCCACACCATTATGATCAATTAATATTTGACAAAGGAGGCAAGAGCATACAATGAATTAAAGACAGTCTCTTTGATAAACGGTGCTGGGAAAATTGGACAGGTACATGCAAAAAAATGAAGCTAGACTGCCCTAGCCAGTTTGGCTCAGTGGTTAAAGTGTCAGCCCACAGGCTAAGGGTCCTGGGTTTGACTCTGGCCAAGGGCACGCAAGTACCTCAGTTGCAGGCTAGATCCCTGGCCCTGGTCAGGGCACAAGCAGGAGGCGACCAATCTATGTGTCTCTCTCACATCAATGTTTCTCTCTCTCTCCTTCCCACCCTTTCTGAAAAGCAATGGAAAAAATATCCTTGGGTGAGAATTAAAAAAAAAAAAAAGCTTCTGCACAGCAAAAGAAACCGTCAACAAAATGAAAAGGGAAACCCACTATATGGGAGAACATATTCACCATTGAAACATCTAATGAGAGGTTAATTTTCAAAACATGAAGAACTTATACAGCTCAACCCCAGGAAAACAAACAACCGAATTTAAAAATGGGCAAAGGACGTGAATAGACACTTCCCTAAAGAGAATATACAGATGGCCAATAGACATGAAAAAATGTTCAACATCACTAATCATCAGAGATATGCAAATTAAAACTACAATGAGTTGTCACACCTGCCAGAATGGCTACCATCAATAAATCAACAAACAACCAGTGCTGGCGAAGGTGTAGAGAAAAGGGAATGAACCTTACTTAGTACACTGCTGGTGGGAATGCATACTGGTGCAGCCACTGTGGAAAACAGTACGGAGTTTCCTCAAAAAGTTAAAAATAGAACTGCCATTTGACCCAGTGATCCCACTTCTGGGAATATGTCCTAAGAATTCTGAAACACCAATCAGAAAGAATATATGCACCCCTATGTTCATAGCAGCATTATTTACAATAGCTAAGATCTGGAAACAGCCCAGTAGATGAGTGGGGGAAAAAGCTGTGGTACATTTACACCGTGGAATACTATGCACCTGTTAAAAAGGCTCCCTTACCCTTTGTGAAAGCATGGATTGAACTGGAGAGTATTATGCTAAGTGAAATAAGCCAGTCAGAGAACAAGTATCACATGATCTTACTTACATGTGGAATCTAATGAACAAAGTAAACTGACGATCAAAATAGGTACAGAGACATGGAACTGACTGACAGATCTCAGAGTGGAGGGGGTTGGGGAGGGACAGGAAAGAGATTAGCCAAAAAACATATTTGCACATATGCATAGCCTACGGACACAGACAAGAGTGTGATGAAGGCGTGGGGT